TTTATGCAAAAAAAATTTCAAGAGCATAGTTCTGAAATTCTAGAATCTATTCATTAACTTGCTTAAAATAAGAAAATCCCTCAACATTGTCAGAAAAGAACAGGCAATGTATGACATAATTCCTAGCATTTTCCCAATTTTCTTACCTGTAAGAATAGATGTTATGATTCTTATGTACCATCAATTTCAGTACAACTCACAGAGACCCTACAAACAATAGAAATGAATTCTGTCCTATATTGAGGCATCCTCATCATCTCTGACATACTTGAGCCCATTGCTGCATTCACGATGTCAATTTATCTCTTTGAGGGTCTTCCTCACTTTTACAGACACTCCACCTCTCCAAGCATAATGTATCTTCCCAAGGATCAGACCCTCCTAGAAACATGCCCAAAGAATGTGAGAAGTTTTACCATTCTTGCCTTCAAATAGTTCTCTAACTGAACCTTCTCCCAGACATATATATTGGGGGAGGCAAAAGGTTATAATCTAGATTAGTAGTTGAATATAGTCAAGACAGTTTAGAAAATGTGCTTTCAGACACTACAGTTTTAGTGTTTCAAAGTTCTCAGTCTTGTGAATATTGGCTCCCCTCCTGAAGTCTTATCTACTGTTATGAAGTACTCAGTCACACAAATTATGGCCCCTCACCCATGTTTTACAACAAATTTGGGGTAAGGCTCTTAGCTGCGGTTCCAATGGTGTAGCAGTCCCAAGGTACCATCTCATGTCAGGTCTCTAGTTTGGCTGTGGCTGCTCTCTTTGTAGTACTGAGTTTTCCCTACTGGGAGTGGGGAGGCCTCTCCTTCTGCTGCCAGGTTGCTCAATTTAATGGCAATCTTCTCGTGGACTGGTTGATAGTCAATCCCGTTGTGGATAGGCTCACATGACCTATTTGTTCTGCCCAGTTAGATGATAAAATCAAACGATGGCTAAGAAAGCCACATTGAAAGAAAAAGTATACATGCTCATTGCCTCAAATCTGTGTTATACACTTTTCAAAAATATATTTATAGGGAAAGTATTACATTCTATTTGAAATAGGTAACAAATGGAAATTCACATAATTACAACTAAAATGTCACACGATAGATGTAAAATAATTATGATACCTTTTAAAATGTACACTAATGTCATATTTTTTACTATAAGAGGTATATTAATGAGAGATTATAAAGTGTATATTCATGAAAGACTCTGTACTGTGGAAATAGAAAAATATAATGCACTATAATTGAGTGTTATTATAACACTACTATATCAAGTCTAATTCATAAACAATTCAATTAACAGAGTGGTTAATTGTTCACTAAATCATCATTGTTTAAACTACAAATGAAATTATAAATCTGCCTCCTTTACAATTGAAATGTACTTATTCTTTCAGGATTGGTCGATGAACCAAATATTTAATATGTGCTCCATCTAACAAGCAATTAAACTTAAGACATAAACTAAGTTTGAGAGTCAATAGTAAAAATTTTAAAGACATTTTTATTCATTGTACATTTTCATTTCCAAATTTTTCCACTCACTAAGATCTGGGAAGATAATAATTTGCCATTTTAATAAGATCTGTATAAATGCATTTAATATTCAAAATCTGACTTGTTGTCAGTCCTAATCAAAGTAAACAAAGCTCTGCAATGAATGAATTTAATTACTCCGAAACTAGTACGTCTAGCTAAGATGAAAAGCAAACGAATGCAATCTAATCTCGGCACAGAATATTTATGATTATAAGCTTTGTCAATAGCAAAGTGCACCAACTGTTCATATATCTGACTTCCAAGAGATACATGAATGCTAATCAGTTCATTAGAGGCTTCTAGTTTGTGATATTTAGCGACAGGATGTAGTAGCTTTCTTGTCCATGGAGTATAATTGTACTCAGAATGAAAAATTGTTTCCAGCAAAGCATCATCCTTCCTGTTTCTGATTTCCTGCTGGTTGCTTTTTATGAGCTGCGTACCTTCAAGAAGCCGACATCACTCAGTTTCTTGTGTCATATGAATACAAGTATGAAAAGGTTCTGAGATTGTCTGCTGAGGGGGATTCTAACTTTACTTGTGGCTTAAGATTTTAGCTTAAAGTAAGTGATCCAGAATCCAGAGCTTCATAATTAGGGTCCTCACCGTGGATCGCTAGTGCTATTTGCAAGTAAAACCCTTCCTACACTTGATCTTAGCCAAAAGGCCGAGAAGCGATAGTAAAACCCTTCCTAAAAGGTTTTTCACCTATAGGGATCAATAACCTGGACTTCAGCAAACACTGCTTAATGATTAGAGTAATAAGCCTTCACATAGGAATATTTTAAGATGATAAAATCTAAAAGAAAAACTATGAATGATGAAATTGATAAACCTCTACAAGAACAGATTTCTTTTAAAAGCACAATTTTATAATTGAGAGAGTAATGCAAGAAGTATTTCTGATGGCTAAATGTAGACATCAATGGCAGTTTTTTGTTGGGATTTTTTTTAAGAAAAAAAACAAACAAACACAAACCAAACAACACCCCCAACATGTTTAAAACTGTATAACAGCACGCTGCCTAATAAGAGAGGAAACAAAATGGGTTGGAAAGATACTAGAAACAATCACATTTCTCTGAATTGATTGTTGTTGGAATGGATTTTTATGATATTTCCAAAAAAGCACAATGAAGAAGCTGAAATTTAACTAATTTGCAATGAAAATGAAAGTACATACGATAAAATTTATGTTAATAAGCAAAGGAATAATACTGATTCACCCAATCTCTAAGGAACCACTTTATTTCAAGGACATCAGTTTAAAATAAAATATTAGCAGTGTCCATTATGAAAGTTCATTTTAGAAATGGGTTATCCTTTCATATAAAATTCAGAAGGTAATCTAGGATTTTAATAGTTCATTGTTGTTTTTGTTGCTATTAAGTGTCATCAAGTTGACTACAATCCTAGGAACAACAGATCTGAACCTAGCCCTACCCTAAGTGAGTAACATGTTATTACAACACAAAAGATAACAATCTCTAATTTCTAAGAATGGTTAACAATGATATTCAAAATTTGTTTTAGATAATAAAGTTTATTAGTTCTGTTACTCATTAGAGATTAAGCTACCAATTTGTTGATAACAAAGATAATTTAATAAGAATAAAGCCTTAAACAGAAGGATATAACCACATGACAATAATAAATATTATAAAATGTGTGTATGGGTGTTTTATTTTTAGTTTAGAGGATATCTACACATAGGGATGTTGACAAACTCAACTGTTATTTAGGAACTATGTAGTAATTCTAAAGGAATTATTGTTGTTGTTGTTGATTGCTGTAGAGTTGAGCACGACGCATAATAGCGACTCCATGAACAAAAGTCCTAATATCTTTCTATAACTATCGGCCTTTCTCCAAGTTCATAGTTTCCATAGGCATGTGGGTTAGAAATTGGATGTCACTCCTGCTTCCAAACCTGTTTTATAACTGAAAGCTTGACCAAATACTGTGCATATTGGGGAACCATTATGGCATTTCACACCCCAACGGCACAAGGTTCAACATCATAGCAAACCCAGATTATCTCAGCTAACAAATTGGCAAAGAGTGATGTATAAAGGAGAAGAAAGTTTCTGCAAAATATAACACTAGTCTCATTTGGCAGTGGTTAAGTGTCATCAGGTCGGAAATGACGATAGCGACCCTATGAACAAAAGACCTGAACTCTGTTCTATAATTAACATCAATTCATTATGTAGATAGAATTTATAGAGGAAATAGTACAGTTTCTAAAACATGAGTTAATTAAGAATATAAATCAATCCTCAAATTAGGTTGATTAGTTACACCAAATGTTACACCAACTTAAAGCCTTTACGTACTTTAAAAACATCTTTATCTAAATCACACCCAATTCTTGGGAAAAGACATCGCACTAGGAATGGTGGAGAATCTCAGGCTAGGAAATCATGCTAGAAAAGGTGGAGGGTCTTATAGAGAGGAACACCTTCAACAAGATAGACCAATATGTTGTTATGTGCCATCAAGTCGACTGTGACTCATAGCGACCCTGTATACAACAGCTCTGATGCCTGCTCTGTCCTGAGCCAGTCAGTCTCTCTGCCTCTGACAAACATACCTCCATTGTCCCAGTTACTGTATCAGTCCCTCCTGTCTGGGGTCCTCTCCTTGGTTGTTCCTCCATCCTTCTGAGCAAGATGTCCTTCTCCAAGGACCGATCGATCACTTGTAGCTATGTGCCCAAAATATGTGAGACTGAGCTTCAAAATCCTAGCCACCAAAGACAAGCTTTATTTCACCTTCTTGAAGACAGACCCATTTGTCTTCTTAGTGGTCCATGGTATGTTCAATACTCTTCTTCAGCACCACAACTCAAAGACATCAATACTTCTGTTCTCCTTAGTCATTGTCCAGCTCTCTGATACATAGCAAATAACTGCGAAGACTATGGCCTGGAAGAGGTGCACCTTAGTCTCTAGACTGACATCACTGGTTCTCAGCACTCTGGAGAGGTCCCTGACAGCAGACTTTCCCAGTGCACAGTGTTTGTAATAATGTCCTTGAGCATACGGTAGGGTGCAGATCAATTGTTCATAAGGTCGCTATGAGGCTCAGTCCTTAGATGTCATCTAACAACAACAATAAATCACACCAGGACTTCAGATTTAGACTTCCTAAAATTCAGTTTTGATATTTTTCAATTTGTCAATAATATCAGGAGGAAATAATGTACATTAAAGGAAAAATATTTGAGAAAATATTCTTTCCATTGATAAGAAGTAAAAAATAAGAATTATTAGAAAAAGCATTTGTTTATGTATTATTCTTTATAGATAAATTCTTTGATAAACTGCCCTGCAATCAAGTCAAAGTTAAGAACTCGTGATTTGGTATTTAGAATCATCCCAAATTATGCAAATACATCCAAAATGTTAAATAAGTTGTACTCCTGGATGACCGATGATGCAAGTTATTTAGAAAGCAAAAGGATATGGACATCTTTGTCACAAACTTGTCATGCGAGTCCTCAGGAAGGGGAAAGGTTTCCAAATCTTTCTCAAGCTGTTTAAGCTGCCTTCCCATCTGCTTCATATTCTTTTCCAGCATTTCTACAGGGACTAAAAGAGAGCATAATAAATGCCTTAAAAGGACAAAATTAAAATATATAAAAGGTAAAACACCTTGGGAAAAAAACACTGATAAAAATCTTCACAAATACTTTATTTTTTTTAAAAAAGACAAATTGTTGTAAGATTTTTTTTTAAAAAAAACTTTTACATTTAAAACCTAGGTAATCAAGGAAAATTAGTAAGAGTCTTCAAAATGTAAGAAGAATGAAAACCAATCTCTATCAACTTTCAATAAAAATTTAAAAAGAAAAATATTATAATGTAAGAAGAAATTTAGAAGATATGTGACATAAACTACATTTAAGAAATATATATTATTCAAAATTAAACTCCATGAAAACAACACACACAGTATTACCAGTGTATTCAGATACAGAAGTAAAGAAAGATTGCTTTTACAAGTAAATATACTTAACCATAAATTTATCACCATTTAAAATAAGAATGGAATTTTTTGAGTGGGAGCAGTGAGGATACAGATATGGTGAAATGAATGGAAATGCTCAGTAGTGTCCAAGTAAATCTACAACAGGAATGAAAGGCATCTGAAGATATTTGAAGTAGCATGTATGTTGAGGTAAAAAAACAAGTGTTTGAAGATTTGCTTTAAGTTCAGATGAATTTGATTAAAAGTACATTTACTTCTTTCCAGCCAATGTGACTTATACAAAATGATGCTTTAAAAAATACCAAAAAAAACCAGACCAACCACAAACCTGCAAGTACAAGAATAGTTAATTAGAATTAATATTTCTAAAAATTGCAATATATAATACATGTAATATATAATAATACAAAAAATAATAAAGTAGTAAAATGTCATACTTATATTTCATAGTCTGGAACTAATTAACTACAGATTGAAAAGGTTGGAGACATCCTTGGAAGCATCCAAACTGCCCCAGAAAATGGGATTATGTTTACAAAAAGACCCCAAAACCCAACAATAATTCAAAAAAATAGCTGTTTATTTTTTAAAACAACTGAGTTTTAAAACACAAAAAACCCTTACTATATACTATATATGTGTGAGTGTGTGTGTGTATGTGTGTGTGTGTATAGTTTGTAACCCTAATTCAATAGAGGGCAAGAGTAGGCAGGCATGAAAAATTATGTAAAGAGACACAGTATTAATGGTTTTTATTTTTAGCTGTATATAAAAAACACTTTTTTCATTTAACCAATATTAATAGCTATTGAAAAAATATTAATACTTGTATAGAAAATTAACAAGCTTATTATTCTTAGACAACATGTTTAAATAATTCCACTCACTGAACTGTAGTTGTTGATTTTAAAGAGCAGTGGTAAGTTAGACTTTGGCTCCGAGTGCTGGGCACTCTGAAATGATACCCAGATACATTTTTTTGAGTGGTTCCCTCCCCCCTTTAACTTCTTTCTCTTTCACTCTTAAAACTGAGGAAGTAACGGAGAAAATAAGTACATAAAATGTCTCTTTCATGATAGTAATTTAGTCTATCAATTCAGTCTACTTAACTCATGCCCCACTATTTAACAGCAAAATGTTCAATGTAGTAACAAATAATTGCTATGATGTCGTGTATCATTCAGGCAGAACTGACCTATGGCTGACTCTCAGGCAGGTTTTCAGAGGCAGTTAATTGCATGAAAGGAGATTGCCCATTGTTTTGTCCCATGGAGAAAGGAGTGGATTCATACCACGTGCCTTCGGGATTGCAGTGCACTTTCTTACTACTAGGCTGCGTTACTTTTTTTTTTATGGTGATTAATTATTCATTAAAAATCCTACATCTCTTTTCTAGGTCTTTCTTACTCATTTAAATGCCCCCCTTCTTATTATAAAATTTTTGATCTTCAAGTGAAAAGATTTTTTTTGTCATTTTTAAAATTGTCTAGAGCAGTACTGTAAGGTTTTTAGCCAGGGTCTTCTAATTAAACGAAAATGATTGGCCAAGTCACTCTTTTGTATGGACTGGTTAACTTATTATGCAAATTGTGTGAGTTAATATTCACTGGGAGGACTGGATGCAAATTACGTTATTTGCAGTTCACTGAAAGGATTGACCAGTTTGTGGTCCTAGTAGGAAGGTCACATCTTGAAACTGACAAGGAGTTTGCTTATAAGGGTCAATCGCCCAGAAGTTCAGGAGAATCTCACCACCACCATATGATTGCTTGGAAATCTGAGGTGCAGCTTGCCAGCACTCGCAATGCAGATACGTGGACATGAACATGCTTTTATCTCTCAGGAATATTTACGTTTTCTATTTCTCATTGCTACAGGTTGTTTGACCAGTTTTATACATCCTAGTCCGACCAAGTTTCAAAAATGTAAAATTCTTTCCTTAGGTAAATACATGCTCTGAAAAATTCCTAACCCATAATTCAACTTAAGTGTGAATGGGGTGCAACTTCAAAGGGATGTAGTTCCAACCCACCAGTTGCTCCACCGGTGGATGGGTAATTCCCTCCCATGTGACTAACTGCCTCTGAAAACCTGCTGCAGGATCAATTACAGGATGTTTCCACCCTGACAGTACACAACAACTTCACTCAATTCACGGTTGCAGAGTCAGTTCTAATTCACAGTGGCCTCCAGTGGTTCTGCCTCCGAGATGCTGGTGGATTCCAGACACCAGAGCCACTCAGCCTTTCAGTTACCAGAGTAATTTACTATGGACTGCTAGTAATATCACGAGCCCTTGTGGCCTAGTAGTAAGAAGTTGCACTGCAATCCAAAGGGCATGCAGTTGGACCCCATCACCTGCTCCAAGGAAGAACGGTGGGATATCTCCTCCCTTGTACCTCTGAAAAGCAGCCAGGTTCCAACTTGATGGTACACAAATATAATTAGTATTATCAGTTAAAATGTACTGAGTAGTTACTATGTCAGGGAATCATTCCATAGCAAAAAGCTATACCAATTGCTGCAAAACAAAAGGTTGAGAGTTTTAAATCAATCAGAAGAATCTTGGAAGAACGGTTTGGCCATGTATTTTCGAGAGGTGATAGTTACTGGAAATTCTATAGGGGGAAAAACAGCTCTATTCTGCAAGATGTAGGACAAAAATCATTTTCATCACAAACCGGTTTTCTCTCTTTCATCTTTTCAGGTGAGGGGAAAGAATGGTATGTCTGTCAAATAAAATGCTAAATGTCCATTATGAATGAACTTATTTAATTATCACAAGAGAATTTTCAGAGTAGGTATTATGGGTATATGAAAGAATTCTCATTTAAAAACAAAGCAAAACAAAACAAAAATACCTATTTTTTTAGATGAGGAAAGTGGAATACAATAAACAATGAGTAAGTAGTGAAGCCACAATGTAAATTCACATACTGTAATTTCAGGTTGAGTAATTAATTTGAACCATGGACATGTCAGTGACATCAGTTAAACTAACAGATATGATTGTCACATAAGTATTGGTTTCCTATACATTCTTGGCCAATGCAATTGCAAATAATCGACATATGACAAGTGTTTGTTAAGGAACATCGAGATGAAACTAACTCAGTGGCAATGAATCACAAGGGAGAAGGTTGCCTGTTGGAACCCTGTGAAGCAGCTAGTGGAGAGGAACTGTGTGCCTTTGGGTTGGCAGCTCTATTTCTTACCTCTAAGCCACCATACAGATGAGCATTCTAAATGGATTAACAGATACTTAGAAAGGCATCTATTAAAAATATATTTTTAAAATTATCTTTTTTTTGTTATTTCCATTATCTTTTTAAGATTCTTTAAAACACTGAAAATGTTTTAATTTCTCCCCATTGTTGCACATTTTCTTTCTCTCTCTCCCTTCCCCAAACCTCCCTGCAATGCACTCCTTGTTCCAGATTATTGTCATTTAAATTATCTTATAAAGTAGCATTCTACTACTGAACAAAACTATATACTTAAAAACCTGCCCATCTATTAATACAATTGCATTATGTACATCAAATTTGGCAAATGAGCATATAAAGGAAGAATTCTGAGGGATACCCATGTGAAAATAAGTACAATGCAAATGCTGAAAAGGAATATGGATAAAGAAGTGCATGTCAGAAGTAAGAGAGCAGATTCCAACCCCATGGGGAAGCAGAAGAGAAGGACACTTTTCTCTTAAGTATTGTCATCCTCAGTCTCAGAGTTGTTTTAAAGCCCAGATCACCTTTAGAGAGAGAAGACTGGAACCACATATGGTATAGATGGAGGGACTTACTCCACATGATGAGCCCTTCTGAACTCTACGGTGGCCCAGCCAATCAGGAATCCCTTGCCATCGGTGAGATCTGAAGCAGTTTTTCATTTACTTGACTTCCACCTCAGTGAAATGGGCAGAATTCCACCTCATAATTAGCGAGTACTGGCAACTCAAAGGTAAGAATCTGAGCTGCAATCCCAAAGGCATGCAGTGTGAATCCACCAGATGCTTAGAGGGAGAAGGAAGAGAATATTTTCCTGTTTGATTTACTGCCTCTGAAAATTTATGAGTTGATTCTGACTTGACAGTACACAACAATTTCCTTTAAGGAAGCTTTGGTGATGTAGTGGTAAGGCGTTGTGATGCCAATCCAAAAGCTTTCACCAACTGCTCCACAGGAGAAAGTTGGACAATCTTCTTCTGTGTGATTTAGTGCTTCTGAAAACCCACTGGAGGATCAGTTACAATTAGTTCCAAATTGAAGAAACAGAACAAGGACCAATTACCTCACAAATATTTGATGTAAGATTTAGTGCGTGGTTAACAAATTTTTTAGAGCTAGAATGTACAGTATGGTGTTCTATGTTATTCTTACACTTAGATGTGTAACACTCATAAAAACTAAAGAACACTCATAAAACTAAAAAACACTCATAAAAACTAAAGAAAATAAAATAAAGAACAAGAAAATCACCATGATCATCGTCATCTGGTTGTAACTGCAGTAGTGTGAAATTGTACCAAAGTGGAGTATTTCCAAAGTAATCTTGGCATCCACTTCCTAAACAACATGCATCCTGATATGAACTTTGA